GTCATAGAATGAAATGATAGCAGATCCCAGAGTCTCCGTGTACAAAACGTCTTTCGGTATAATGGTATACCTTCCCTGTTCTTCGACTGTTTCGTTGATAAATCTATAATAATACATCGTAGTCGGGTATTAATGGGTGTTTGTAGTGTAATTTACGCTGAGGCTCCGTAGTGCATCACACTACCGTAGTCGTATGTTATGTTGTAGTTATTATTCGTTTCCATCGTCTTCGCTTCGAATTGACCAATCCGGCTACACTAAACATGGCACAGCGTTATATAACTCCTATAGTTTCAGCGAGTCTTACGTTGATATTTTCTGTAATAATTGTGATGAAGTCGTCACGGTCATATCTTGAATGCGTGTGTGAGAATCCGAGGGCATGACCAATTTCGTGGGCTGCTTCCTGCAGTGGAAATAGAAAGTAGTTACGCTCTAATGAATGCAAGAAACTGCTTTATTTTCCTCGTCTTCCTGAAAACATAACAACATCGCCATTCAGTGTCCTGAAATCATTACCGTTTCACAGCTGTCGCCGAGCGAAATTAGCTGCCATCCTCCGTGCCTGCCTAGCTCTGCCCAACATCCACGATCCTTATACACAAGAATAATGTCCTCAGCTAAAATACCGACAAATGTCAAATATTAACTTTCCAAATTAAATTTTTCAAATTTTAAACTACAAAACAAGCAAGTGCTTCATTTTACCTTCTTCAGTCAAATCTTCTATGAAGTTAATGCACGTGTTATTCATCCACAAGTATGTTGCATTCCTGAAGGCTTCTTTGGTATCATTACCTTAATTATGGGACAGTTTTCACAAACTTTTGTACATATGACGACAAGAACGTTGTAAAAAAATTACTTAAACTGTTGTCGAGGGTGTAGTATACGCCGTCCGGCCATCTTTTACCAGGGTATGTTTTATCATTGTAAGCTTGGCGCTTACGACGGCCCTTCGCCATCTTTGATAATCTCATCCTGTTGCTCTCTAGAAACAGTGGTCTTTTTCCTATCAAGTCTCAAGAAATGAGAACAAACAATCGAAAAGAAATGGATCTTTACCACGAAGCTGAGTTACGGAAATAGCGCCCCGTAAACTAACTTGCGCGCACTTGCCCGGAAAGTAAGAGGTGTGGCTTCGATCCCTCGCAGCACCAAGTTTGTTCGCAAAGCTAGCCAGCCACGTGCCACCTCGACAGGGATCGAACTCGTGCCCTCATGAGTACAGAAGTCAGCCTTCTGACCTAAACTATACTCGACCATCCGAAACTTTGAAATATTGCGGTTGATAACTCTGAAATGTCGCTTCCTTTTGTGTCTTTGTTTCTTAGCTAAAACACAAGTCTTCGTGAAATAGTATACACTGCGTTTCATAAATATAGGTCCACCCTAATTTTTTGCTATTCCAAAGTTGCTGTGCATTTTTGGAAAATGCCGCTATTACCAATAGTTTCCCCATAACGAAAAACCTTGATACTTGATTTCTGGAGAAATCTCGATTCAAATTATTTCCTTAGAACGTATTTTCACCGTTTCGCAAATATGACTACACATCACTTGTCGAGAGATTTTACTATAACGAAAAAACGTCACGAATTTTCAATAATGGGATGACCCCCAATAATCATAAGGAACACAATAATACGTTTTGAAATGCTGGGTAGCCAAATTAGCTATTACAGTAGGATCGAAATTCGTCTGGGCGCCGATGATCGACCTTTTCAGCTTTTCGGCTGTTCCATTTTGCTTTACTTTGCTGTGGAACTTTATAACAATTAAGGCCCAATGATTCTCTATTGGAATCTAATTCAGATAACATGGTGGCCACCAGATAACTGCCACATTTTTTCCTGCAATTCCATCTGGCGCGGAGGGACCGGCATGGACAGCCGCGTTATCGTGTGTGAAAATCAAGGATAGAGGGGATCCTTGTTGAAAAAATGGTAAGACTCGCTTCGAAAGAACTTCACGATACCCTGTGGAATCTTTGTGAACGGAAACAAAAGCGAGCTCTAGCTACTCAGTCGTTCAAAGGTGCCTCAAACCATAAGGGATTCACCGCCGAAATTACGTTACATTGAAACCATCTGCGATTTTCACGCGATCATCCTGTACCCTCTTACATAATCCACCTATATAAACTTTTTTCCACGTCGATCTCAGACCACCTGTAGAACGAAACAAGGAGGTAGAGTCCAAGATCGCGAAGGGTCTTAACAGCCACACCATCGCTCATTAAGTTGAGCCCTTTTCCACGGAGAAATGGAGACTTGCGATCTTGTAGCGCTCAAATAATCTTGGAACGCTCTTCATCAATCCGTTGAAGATGTTATTGCTCTGCTGGCTTACTCACCACACGGTGGTTTTGCTCACGGAAGGCCGCATTTCAGTACGGACTTTGTTCGGACTCCTTGTATAATTCGAAATTTGAAGGAAACGCAGTCTTTATTTACCTAAGCGACTCTTCTCTCCGCACTGACCAGGATTTTGCACATAGTCGCTTATGCAGTATGAGCCGGCCGACATGGGAGGAAATTCTGCTCCTCAGCTATCCCACTTCAGTAAGTGCTCTAGCTTGAGCTTGTTACTGGGAAGAGAGGCGAATAACACGAGGTATGGTAAACTCGATGTCGACTGAGCCCACATATTTCCCCGCTTCCCTGATTCCCTTCACGGATCGTGAGAAATGGAAACTTTTTATGAGTGGCCCGATATTCATGAAACGGTGAAAATTCGTTCTAAAAAAGTTAATTGGGTTACTTGAGGGGGAATTTGTCAGAAAAACACTATGAAGGTTTTCCGTGATGAGGAATCTAACGGTGATAGCAGCATTTCCAAAAAATGCACAGCAACTTTGGGGTAGCAAAAATTTAGGGACCATCCTACTATATATAATTCGCTAAGTATGTCTGTGTGTAGGTCTGTGTGTGTTTGTCACGAAATTCGTAGCTCGGGTCACAGCAACGATAGCGCCATGGTTCTTACATATGTTATAGGGGGTGGGATGGGGACTCAAGTGGTACGTGATAGGAACTGATAACGACTGATAATAGCTGATAAGAGGGGCTAGAAAGCGAGCATCGCCAATTTCGTTTTGTCGTTCATATTGGTACTAGAGCGTCTATACTTACAAGTGTTATGTGGGTGGTCCCGGGACAATGGTGGTACATGAATGGAAGCGATAGCAACTGATAAGGGCTGATAAGGGGCGTCAGAACGCAAAAGTCGTCGATTCCGTTACGCAGCTTGCGTTGACACTAGAGCGTCCATACTCGCAGGTGTCATGTGGGTGGGACGGGGACATTGTTGGTAGGTGATGAAAAGTGGTTACAACTGATAAGGAAAAGGCGCGTCAGAGAACGCAAAAGTCGTCAATTCCGTTACGCAGCTTGCGTTGACACTAGAGCGTCCCTACTTACAAATTCTATTTGTAGTGGTACGTGCACACTGTATCATTGTATGACCAGCCTACTTAATAGCAGTCTATTGCATGAATTCAATCAAGTCTTCAGCAAATGATAACTTTCGTTCCTATCAAGAAAGCCCAAACTCATTAAACCGCTAATCCTTTCGGGGTTCTAAATAATGGTGAATGTAAATAAATGATAAGCCTTAGCTCTCACTTATGTAAATAGGCATATTTCATTTTAATTTTGAGACTGACAGCAATCCTATTCACCGCTAAATTATCTGAATTCAAGAAGAATGCTGGATGTTTACAGTTGTGAGATAAATATGCCAGTTCAGCTCCAGACGTTATCACGCGTATTCTCGATGGACTTCAGCGAAACTGGGAAAGGTCTAACACATTCAATAGTGAGGTGGTTAATGGAGTACCTCATGCTGATATTCCATGGGTCCTTCCAGTTTCGCTAAAGCCTGCCGTGTGATGCGCGCGATAGCGGGCGGAGCAAAACTGGTATAAATATAATGCATATTTGCCTTTTATAGATAACAGACTGAATGATGTAAGTATTAATTAATGTTGCTAGACAATACGCTTCCCAAGTGCCTTGATACGACTCTATAATGTAATCGATAACTATACTTATAAAATTTACCGCCATATACCTTAGCCATTATCATTATTTATCTTTGGCCAGTATCTTTCTTGCTAAAAGCTATAAATAACCAGATTATAACCCATGTATTTCAGTTGACTTTCTGTTATCAGCAGTTGTCCACAAATAGCATAGCACTGGTAATTATGAAACGCAGATGTATCATTCATTGAGAGAGCGATTCAGCACACATATAGCGAAGTCTTATTCGCCAGTGAGCTGATGTTCTTCGGGCCAAAACTTTTGCTCGAAGATGATTGATCAGAAAACATCGTCTGGACGTTATATATTCAAGCAAGGAAAAGCGGCCAACAAATCCCGCTCACTGGGTGCAAAATATTGAGCAGTAACACTTAGTATCTTCCAGCTATGATTTCAGCTCTTCCAAGACTGAGATAAAGGACTTTAGGACGGAGAGCGTGGATATTGACCTGTACCTGTAGAAATGAAGAATTAAAGAAAGCCAACCAATTGAGCTCTCGTCAAACTACACAGAAACTCTTGGAAGATTTGGCTGTGTCAACAGTAAAATTTAAAATGTTTCT